GCGGCTCCCACAAATCAACCGCAAACTTTTCAGTCAAAAAAGGTTCCCAGCGGTCGAGAAAGTGGATGGAGTGTAAGGTAGAGGGTATGTCACTGCGGCTTTGGAACTACTTTACCCCTGAGACAGGGTGGGGAGATACCACACGAAGATCAGAGCAAGCTCTGGAATGAAACATGTATTTTTGACTAATGTTAGGTCTCTGCAACAAAAATCAAATTCAAATCGTAAGAGGTCAAAAAACGAGAAGGTGAGTGATAGTTTTTTTTCAAGAATATCAAAGCTGTTGGTCATCCAGAAATAAAATGTCTAGATCAGCTCACAGCGCATTTGGTTGACACATATATTGCGGTTTTTTCAACAAATTTTATTCAGTGAAAATGATAAAAATATTCAACAAAACATGTTTAAATGATTTTCGGAGCGTAGTCACCATCCTTCAAGAATGCTTCCCATTTGCTTGGCAGTCGGTCGATTCCACGGGTGAAGAAGTCACGATTCTTGGAGACGATCCACGCTCTAACATCGGTCCACCAAGTCATCCAGCTCGACGTGAATTTGTTCGTTTCGTACCTGTTCGTGGAATGACTCTGCCGCCTTCCAACCTCTATCGAAATGGTAGAGCATATGTGGCGAATATGAAAATGATTTTCGATAAGCATTTCTGTTAATGAAGAGAGAAGAATATTTTCATGAAAAATAATAAACAAAACGCCAATCTTTTCGAAAAAAGAAGGCGCGAAAAAGGCCGCAATAATTATGCATCAACCCAATAAAAAAGGCAGTTGTTCAGACTCAGACTCATCTTTACGATCTATTCCTTTTCACACGCTTGAGCTGATTCAGTGAGGCCGAAGTTCCTTAGCTAGTAATGTAATGGTAGGAAAGAGGCTAGTGTCTAGCGAGATTGCAAAGTCAGAACCAGCTTGGTTTTCTGTTTACGCTGAGATCCTTCCCACACTTTGGACCACGACTAGTCTGTATATCGTACCTTACTCCGTGTATCGAGAAGTTTGGAGAGGATGAGGTAGTCACCAGAGGGCTCAGTACTCCAGGCAAGTATCCATGTGCCCTCTATCGTATCATATTTCTCACTCTTTCAATACTTTAAAGTAGGCAGACAAATGTACTTACGATTGAAATGCAAAAATAATATTTACACTGAACACACCTTTGTGAACACCGAACACATCCTTGCGTCATGGGAGGGGGTTTTGCGAAGGCTCAATCCGTTCAATGACCATGTGATTGTTTGATGGTGAAAATTGCACAAAGGGTTTTTTCAACTCAAGTGACGTGTCAAAACCGGAAAACGTCTACCAACGGGAGTGACAGGCGAGTGAGCCTAATGGCACCGCATTTGTGTAGCAATCCGGCACCACAGCGATGTGGTGAGTCACGGTGGGAACAAGGAAAGAAAGAAGCTATTCCAAACATTACTAGTAGGATAAGGGATTGAAAGGGACAACATCTTAGTAAAGCTGAGTTACAGAAAGCTGACGCAGAATGTCCTAAAGACAACAAAATTTCATTCCAGAGATAGAAAACAGCTCATGACAAAGTCAGAGCGAACCGCTCTCGTCCGTTGATTATATTTATTCATTCGTCTAATTAAAAAAGGGAATCAATATCATCGGGATCCTACCGAGCATAAAAAAAGGCTTCGAATTTGATATGCATCAAACAGAAGAGCTTGAAGGGAGATGATGGGAGAGAGGTGAGGGATGAGCTGGAGAGCTTGGACACGAACGCAGCGTTAACCATCACGTTCGCACTTTTTTGAAAATTTTTCGACCACTTCCCCCCCCCCTCTCCTCCACCTTCATGGGGTCTCGATGCACCACCACCATGAGATTCAGGCGGCTCCCGCAATACAACCGCTCCCCTCCCCAACCTGACCACCACCCTCGCCATCATTTCTGTTTATAAATAATAGTATTTGATTCTGAGGTCGTTTGACACAAGAACATTACATTTATTCCAAAACAGCCGTCGAGGGGGAGGGGGTAAACTGGTGTCATGGAGCGGAAAATCCAACTTTACCCTTTTCAACGACCTCCGCTCCAACAATGATACTATGATAACCTTGCTCAACCCCAAAACGGCCCTTTCGTTCAACTAGTGCGAACGGACGGTTGGCCCTGCACGAAATTCGGCAAACATGGAAAGACCTTCAGAAGGAGAAGACAGCAGCAGTGCCGCGCAACTTCCACCACCCACAGTATGTTTTGTGCCAGGCACGGTTGTTGGACAGCGGTGTTTATGTCATAAAAAAGCATAAGAGGAAAAAATGCACGAGGAAACACTGATCAAAGCAAAACATAAGGTGGGAACATGTTCCAAACCAAAACAAGAACACAGAAAATGTTTCCATGAACGCCATAAACATTGCAGTCACCTAGGCAAATAAAAACAATTTATGATGCGCAAGAGCAGACTTAGGCAGATGGGGAAAAGCGATAAAGAAACAGATCAATCTTTCGAAAGCTCCTTCGGAGATACTAGGAGTTCGCACTCCAAGTGGAAGGAATCTGACCAAAAAGAATTCCTTAGACTGTCGAAGTGACGGAACAGCAAAATAGACAATGAAGAGACGATTGACACTGCTTGAATTGAGCATTACATACTTTAGACACAGTGGCAGCGTATCCCTATAAACGTTACCGTGTACACTTTTCCAAATCTTGGACGTATCATATAAGTTTCCTTTTCGGATCAACGAAAAGACGTTGGTGGGATTGTTGCTTCACGTTGCCCGTTGATTGCGGCGATACAACATTAGTTGGGCCCGGGCCGTAGTTCCATCCAAGACGCGGTTTTTAGGACGAATTGAAGTCGTCCGTCCCGTGTTCTACCAGTCCTGCCCACAACCTCTTTGTCGATCTTCATTCAAGAGGAGCTTATCAGGTGATTCTCATCTACATTCATTCGGTAGTACTAGCTTCGGTGCCTCGTATTAGGTTTCTATTTCACTTACTCACTCAAGATATCCGATTAGTTGCGTGAATGAACAGGCACCTTGGTAGACGAAAGACGCATTCTTTTCATAATCCCATGAAACCAGACTCGGAGCTCTCACCTGTCCGGAGTGCTCTGTAAAACTAGAAGTATTAAGGATGGATGTTTGTAGAGGCGAACCCGACCAGAGCTGAGTTTTTTAAAAAGAAGTTCTGTAACCCTTTCTATCACTAAGCTGGAGTTCACTTGGCAATAGCGCCGAGACCGGTGTGCCGGCCTTGTCATCGTCCATCCGTATTATTCAGTAGCCCCTTTCGGCCATTTCTGCCTCAAAATCGGAATTAATTAATGGAGCGTAGAGAATACAGAGAGCAAGCACTTAGGATCAGAGACCAGTGTCAGTTGTAGAGCTGAAGCTTTAGCCGTTGATATTCCTCTACCAGGATAAAAGAAGTTGCCCCTGGAGTGTGTTGGTAAGGTAGTAGTGGGAATGCTGTAGGAGCTGCTGCATCTACGACTAATAAATTCATCGTTCATGGAAGGCTTAGCTGGAAATAAGATTTTTCTTCGAAAATCAAAAATCAAACGTTAGAAAAAAATCATGAGGAAAATCGTACAGGGAAGCACGATTCGCGCTCAAGCACGTTGTTTCCCTATTCTACATGTTTGAGGTGGTGTAGTGGCAAACGGGAGCACTCACCGTGATCAGGGCTCGAATCGCTTCTGGGCAAACCAGCTCTTTCATTCCACTTAATGCAGCACTACAGAAGAATTCGTATCGAAGAAGCAACTCACTAGGTGGGATAGAGCAACCCACGAATAGCGCAGATGAGCCGTTTTCGGATTCAAAAGTGAGCTATATCACAAACTCAACATAAGGCGACAAGTCTTAGCATTCGGACGAGATACCTTGCGCATTTCCGTGGTGCGTAGCGTGGATTACGAAGAATCGGCAATTTCAAATACGCGTGGGTTCGTGGAGCTGTAGAGCACGCAGAATCGTACAACTCGTCTAGCCTTGCTACTTTCTTATTTCGAGGAAGAATTTTTGGTTAGCTTCACCGACAG